GAGAGAAAGAGGAGAAAGGAGAGAAATGAGAAAGGAGAAAGGAGAGAAAGAGGAAAAAGGAGAGAAAGGGGAGAAAGGGGAGAGACAGGCAAGATGATGGGCAACTCCAGTCCAAAGGAGAAAGGGGAAGGAAAGGGCAAAAGCACAGATGCGAATGAGGGAACAGTCAGGGAGAGAAGAGAAGCAAGCCAACAAGCACTGAAGCAAGCAATTAGCCAAGGAAGAACAAGGGAGGGACGAAGCACTTCTAAAGAGGGAGGGAGAGAGGGAGGAGGGAAGGAAAGAAGGCAGGAAGCAAGGAGGGAAGGACAGAAGGAAGGAAATGAAAGCCATGCAAAGCACAAAATCACAAAGCATTTCGAGTAAAAAACAAAAAAACAAAAAAAAATAACGAAAAAAAGGTAGATGATCACTAGTCAAAAATCCCAAAGGACTTCCATGCCTCTTGTCTCATCCCGTTAAAGAAGCACGGGCGGAAGGCCATCTGCGGGCGGGGGAAAGCGCACCTCATAAGCAAACACTGGCACTCACTCACTCACTTACTCATGCCCTCGCTCACTCACTCACTCACTCACTCAATCGCTCGGTCGCGCCACCTTGCACCGCAGCGTGAGGTGAGGTGGTCAAGGGGCCCGGGATAAGAACAATGAAGCTGCCATGAGCGGTGGTCAAGGAATGCCATCAGAGTGGGCGAAGGATGAGGTGGGCGCTTGTGAGTGGGCGGAGAGAGGGGTGGAGGGTGAAGGGGAGGTCCTACCAGTCGTTGCAGCGTGGTGTGCAACTGGCTGTAAAGCTGCTGCAGGCCAGGCACAGACATAATGGCCTCGCGAGGGGCGGCGGGCGAGGCCAGGCCGCCCGGGGGCCGCGAGCACCCACCTCCGTCCCCGAGCCCGCCCACCACAGCAGCGCCGCCTCCAGCCCGCGCTCGAGGGCCGCCGCCGTCGCCTCCCGCGCGATGCCCAGGTCCAGCGTCCGTCCCGACGCCGCCCTTCGTCCGGTGCCGCTCGGAGCAGCGGGTGCCCACCTAGCTCGCCTCATCGGGGCTAGCACTACCGCGCCCCGCCGCCCTGGCACGCGGCGAAGCGTGGGGTGGGCCAAGCGGACGGGCACGGCGCCCCCTACCCCTAGATTCGCTCCAAACACCATCAAATCTCACGGCTGCATAGGACATCCGCATTTGTAAAGCCTCTTCAATTATTTTAGGACGGAAGCCAGGAGCGATCTCCACCTCGCAGGCCCCGGCCAGGAGTCGCAGGCGTTCAAACAAGGGGATAAAAACGCTGCTCTGCATCCCTCATGCTTGTGGCATGGGGCGACCAAGGAATGCTGACGTCAGCGTGCCGCCTCCCGTATAAACAGAGCCACCCCCCTGTCCCCGCTCCCGCCCGCCCACGCCTTACATACTCCCTCTTCTTCCTACCCTACCCCCAGTCCACCTCCCTCCCCTCTCCCCTCATCCCGCCCTACCCTAACATAACGCCAGGCCGTCCCTGCCCCTAGACCCCTACCGACGAGCCCTGACGCACGTACCCACAAGAAAAAAATATTACATAAAATAAATAAATGACAATAACAAACAAATAAAACCACCCTCCTCCTGCGTCGCCGCCTCCGACAGAAGGTCCTCCACTCGTCATAACATGCCCTCTCTCCCCACACACACACCCCTCCCCTTCCTCCCCTGCCACGCACGCCCCTCCCGAGACTCACCTGTGTGTCAAGGCTAGCACTCATGTCCCCCCGAGCTCCTCCGCCCTCGGGCCCGCCGCAGGCAGCACAGGTAGCAGGAGCCTCCGCGTTCTCCGGAACAACACTTCCAAACTACTGGCACTCCGCTACACCAACACATCACACACGCTCACACGCACACGCATTCATACATATATACACACAAACACACACGAACGCACGCACATTCTCCATCTCTCTCTCTCTCTCTCTCTCTCTCTCTCTCTCTCTCTCTCACACACACACACACACACAGAGCCCGCCGCCGATCCGTGCCAAAATCCCCGCTGCCATTTTTTCTCGCGGCGTCACATTCCTGAAGTACGCAGTATCGCTCCCTTTGGCCTCTGATGCAACAGGCACTCGAGGCGAAGGCGACAAGGGGAGGCGTCCGGGCTCCTTCCCCTCGCACTCCGGACGAGGCGCGAAGCAGGGCGTCGGCAGCGCTGGCGGGCAACAGCGAAGGCCGAGGGGGTATATGACAGATACAGATACCCCGGCGCCTGCCCTCGCTGTCAGCCTCGATGCCCACGATCCCCCTTCTCTACCGTCATGCCCTCCCCTCCTCGCCACGTGCGCTCCCTCCCACTCCTCCGCCCCACAACGCGCCTTCCCTCGCAAGCACCTACCTGCAGCAAGCCGGTGGTCTGCTCGGCGCCCATCGTGCCGCTACTCCTCCATATGCCGGCCTATACAGCACAACGCTACACTCGGGCGTCCGGCGCCAAATATACCGAGGTGAGGCCTCCTCGGAGAGACATCTCACGACTTATCACACGCAGGGGCCAAACTTGGCGACGAGAATAGTCGGGTGCGCGGTCTTCTTCGAGCCGTTTTCTGTCACGGCCGCCGACTTACCGAGGCCCGTTTTCTGTTGCTCCCTCTAGGGGGGACTGCTCTAACTCAAGAGGGTTCAGTGGAAAATTGGAGGATGGGGGTAAAAAGGGTAAGGTCCAACGCAAACTACCATCACGTATTGCAACACCAACTGATGCTGCCATATCATATGCTAATGATTAAGAAGGAAACAGAGTACACAGAACTTACTGTAAAGAAAGAAACACACAAGAAGAGAAATCAAAGGTGCATATATAAGAGTAATTACATAAATGTATATATAAAAAGAAGAAGCATGCCTCTTCTCCATTCATCCTGCACACCCCATTCACTCCCTCAGCCGTCCATGCACTCACTCACACCCTCAGTGACTAATAGTAAAACAACGTGCATCAGAGGCTTATCCCTGGCTCTGCCGCAGTCACGATACATATGCGGTTGAGGCAGCCTCGCGGTGGTGGACAGAGCACCTTTACTGGCCGGTATATATCAGCTGCAGCAACAATACATACACGAGGGGGGACGCGCGCGTGGGGCCACCCGCGCGTCCCGCCCCTGCGATAGGCGAGCCCCAGTTGCCGCAGCGGAGGTGCGGTGTTAGAGTGGGCGCCGCAGGGGAGGCGCGGTGCCGACGAGGACAGTGAGGCTGGTGGATGAGCCGCCACGGCACCAGGGGGTCACCAACGCACCGGGAAATGATTGGTACTCACGTGGCTGTTGGCGTATGAGTCGCGGTGGTGGCGTCGGTTGCGGTGGTGCGGGCGGCGGCGGCGCGACGAGTCCGACGAGGCCGAGCGCGAGGACAGCCTACGGCGTGCATGGCCGCGGTGGTGGCGGCGCTCCGACGAGTAGTCCCGGTCGTGGCGGCGGCCGTGGCGCTCTCGCTCCCTCTCCCGCTCCCTCTCGCTGCTGCAGAAACCATCAACCAGCTCGGTTACACGGGCGCCTCCAAGGGAACCACACCCCGGGACGTCTATCGCCACTTACCACAACAATATGCCACACCTTAAGTCTTCTACAACTCACCTTGCAGGCCGGACCTGCCGTCTGCGACTCCCAACTAACCTCTTTAAACAAGGGCTGCCGCTGCGTCCGTTTTCACACTCCAGAAAGGGGGAAAGGGGGCTCTTGACGGCGCAAGAGGGCACTTACCTGGCGCTAATGAAGGTGACGCTGGTCTCTTCCCCGCTGGAAATGTCATCTCGCTCGTAGGTCGAGTCGCAGCTCGCACACATACCCATCATACCAAGCCCCTCATGCCGACACTCCCATCAAAACGACCACCGGAGGGCAAACCACCAAAGCCATGTCCACGACCCATCGCCGGGGTGATGGGGTACCGGGTCGTCCTCATCCAGCGAGGGGCAGGTGCGAGGTCCCATTCCCGCTTCCCTCCCCCTCCTCTTCCCCCTCGAAACCCACCACAGACAAGACACCGACACTCCAAGACACGACAACAAATACCCTTAAAGATAACAAAATAAAACACCAACAAAATTCTTGAACAACAAGGAACAAAAACAAAACGAAAATTAAAAAAAAGACACTAAATCACACCAACCTCCTCCTCCTCACGATAAGCGTCTCGCTCCACCCCCTCCAAAGACACACACACACACGATCTCGACGCGCCTTATCACACCACCATCGCCTTCAATACGACAACACCACGCGCGCCCCACACCGCAACCCCGGGCGCCGCCGCCACCACCACCACACAACCACCCATCCCACAACCTACTCCAACAACAGCAACAAAGCAAAATAAAAAAGTGGGGGAGGGCGGGACGGGACGGGACAGGACGGGCCGGACCACAAACACAAGCCTACATCCAACGAGAGGGTTAACTGCCCCCGAGCCTAATGCAGCCGAGACTAAACGAAGGAGCCCAAGACGACGCGGGACTGGATGGGAAATCCTGTGTGGGAACGGAAGCCTCCTATCGCATCGACGGCCCTCGCTACGCCTTTATCAGCTGAGAGACAGCGAGGGGCGAGGAGGGGTCTTCGGCGCGCCACGGGGGGAGGGGGAGGGGGAGGGGGGGTGATGGGTTACCTCGATTTTCGTGTAAACATTCAGAGGGAGGGAGGGAGGGAGGGAGGGAAGGAAGGAGAGAGGGAGGGAAGGAGGAAGCGGAAGAAAGATAGGGAGAGTAGGGGAGATATGGAGAGAAATGGGGAGCGCTGTGGGGATGGGCAGAGGTGCAGAGGAAGGAAAGGGAATATATAGAGAAGGAGAGAGAGAGAGAGAGAAGGAGAGAGAAGGAGAGAGAAGGAGAGAGAGAGAGAGAGAGAGAGAGAGAGAGAGAGAGAGAGAGAGAGAGAGAGAGAGAGAGAGAGAGAGAGAGAGAGAGAGAGAGAGAGAGAGAGAGACGTAACCTAAAAATAGAGAAAAAGCGATAAACAAAAAACAGTGAGATACAGCCAGAAAATTA